GAGAGAAACCGTGCGTTGCTGAAGAGCGGAGGGTATTCGCAGCAAGGAAATTCTGTTCTGGTGCATCAATCAATTAACTTCACTACGGCCAGGACAATCAATTAACTTCACTACGGCCAGGATTTGGAGCAGAAAGAGCAAATAGCCTTGGGATCACGGGATGAAAGGAACTGTGCGAGTGCAAGCTGTGTTCCCTTGCTGTCATAGGACACAGTTGGCTTTGCCTGGATATGCAGTATCCAGGAACCGAATCTCATAGTCAGAAACACTGTCCTGTTGGATAGGGTAAAACCAAAGCAAATGCAGCACTAGCCAGGACGACTGTAACAGCGGGAGAGAAGCGCTAGCCCACCCTACAAGAGATATGCTCTCTCCTCCCCACCAAGATTACAAATTAGGAAGAAAAAAAAGAGTTTTGCAAAATACATCAGAAAGCATTTCTTTTTTACAGCGACTGTGAAATATTCCACTAGTCTCAAACAGACTCATATAACCCCACTTAGTTTTCCCTTAAATCATATCTTCTAAGGGGGCAGTGACACTTACCACTATTAATGCTCCTTTAACCAGCAGATGGTGTCAGCCGAGACACAAAGCAGCACATTTCCAGAAATAATAGCTCCAATCTGGCAAATCACACCTTTCTGTTTTGAGGCTGGTGTACCTCAGCATGAAAAAACCACAAAACCCCACCCCATCCTGCACAGCTCATCCTGACTCAACACCCAAAGTCCCAACGCAAAGTGTCTCTTACCAACTGCAAACCTGACAACTGAGCACTCTGGCCCTGGAAGGGACAGGACAGGACTGGTTTTCATGGGATAGCCTTCCTAAAATCCCTGGAACCTGCAAGTAGCCAAGTACCCTGGACAAGGCAATGGGAAAAAGAACCAAAATAAACTTCCCTTAGAGCTGACATTCATTGCTTTTCCAGAAAACACAAGCTGTTAACCTTTCATATGCAAGCGGATCACTAGCTAAGATCTTTACATTGAGGTCACCGCAACATTCCTGGAAATACAAGTGTATTACTGTGGGCTAGGGATTTTTCTTGTTGCTCTGTTGGTTTTTTTGTTTTGTTTTGTTTTTTAAAACCAAAGATAAAACAGTCCTTATAGGGCAGAAGTTGGTGACATGCTCTACCACAAAAGCAGCTGTTAGGGTTTCAAGAAGTCCTAAACTGCTTCAGGTAGGATCGCACTGGCAGTCAGCTTCATCATTTTGGGTCAGGAGAACATCCAAACCTTTTTAAAAACTGCATTAGTAGAGCGAAGCAAGACACTCGAAAGAAACGGAGATTAGTCTCTGAGGAGGAGGTGGGCAGAGCGACAGAAAAGGACAAGCAAGAGCATGATTTCAGTGCTTTTAACGCCAAACCGTTTACCCTCCTTCACCAGCCAAAGGGAACAGCACGAACGCTAAGCAAAGCATTTTTCATACGATTTCCGGGAACTATTTTAGGGAATTCTGAAGAAGTGACTCTAAAGTGAGAAGTATAAAAGAATATTCAAGAGTTCTCAGACTTTCACAAGAGCTCATCCATCTGCTCGGGTAGCAAGCAGGAATCAAACTGTAAATCAGACAAAGGTTCAGGCAAATCGAAGCCGAATGAAACAACTGCAGCTTGCCAGAAGCTCAAAACAAGCCAAACCTTGAGACATTTAAGCTTCAAGGAACAGCAATGCAGAACATTAACATATCACCGCCATCCAAAGACTGGTGGCAGAGACAAAGAGCTGGTAGCAATGGGATTTCCCTGACACAAAAGCAGCTTGACAGACCGCAGACAGGGAGCTGCGCCACGGCTGCTGCCAGAGCAGCGTTTTAACTTTCCAATGCCTCAACTCTGGTTTCTGATTTATTTTTTTTTCAGGTGATTACCTGAGATGCTTCAAGGCAGACATAGCATGGCTTGGGATTTTTGCCACCCGCAGTCCCAGGGTAACCACCAGCATTCACTCCGGGAAAATAAAAACACCTCCTTGAGCAAAAATGACTGCTTCTCAATGAAACCATGAAAAAGCAGTTACAGAAACCTCAACCATCTCCAAGGCTGCGTCAGCGAGCGATCGAGGAGGTCAAACTGTTGCTGAAAGAAAGACCAAGTCACTTCCTCCGTGCCAGATGTTACAGGGCAAGGGCCCTGAGCATGCAACGGAGTGAGTCAATGGTAAAAAGCAAACACCAACTGTGTATCTACAAGGCTCCCTCCTTGCCTATGAATTCCAGAGACATATGACTAAGTTCCCTTTCAAAGAATAAACGTTTTCCTAATCAACTGCTTCTGCACTGGAGTGCCACACTGAATCAGCTCAAACATCAGTTAGAAAGGAGGCGCTGGCGCACTGAACGTCGCTCAGCTACCGTTCTGCTTCTGACCCTCCTACGCTAGCACGCCTCAAAGAAACTGAAGAAAGCAGGGGAGGAGACCTCAAAATGCAAGTGAAAAGATGAGTAAAGACAGTTTACAGTTTTAAGAAAATTGCTAAGCCACATTTTTAATACCTTACTGATTTTCAGACATTACAAACAGCTTGCAAACACAGCAGCCTTCCAGCAGAAGAGACCACCAGTCTGTCCGCCTTTCCCCCAGCCTTCCCCACTCCGTTGCTGTTCCTTCTGCTTGCTACCTGCTCACATTTACCCAGTATTAACTCTTCTCATCCGTCCACCCCCCACCTGCCCTCCGGCAACATTTCTCCCCTCTCTGGCATTCTCCCACTGTGCCAGGGTCTGCCCCTCTCCCACTGCAAACTGTTGCTCCCTAAAGTCAGATCTGGAGCATATGAGAAGTCCCACTTCCTAGGATGTCCCACACAGACTAGATTTCTGATGGCATTCAAAACCTCAGGTAGTAGAAGAGAAATCACCACTTCAGTACAGGCTGGATACCAAGCAGAACAATTTTAGGATGTGAAGTCACACAAAATATTCAGGTTCTCACAAAAATGAAGTTTACACCTCCACACCTTGCCACGTATTCCTCCCTTACAGATTTTCTTCAAGCACAGTAAGTGCTAAGGTATCAGTTGCAAGACGTGACCACCTTTGTGTATGGGTGATGCTATTTATACAGCCAATGATGCACGGAAAATATATTAAAAAAAATTAACAACTGCATTCACTGCCACGGTGAGCAGTTGCAGCTCCTGATTCAGTTCTTCAACCATTGGGTGGAAAATTCCCCATTGCTGAAACTAAAGAGATCATCAGAAAACTTGGCAAACTACCAGAAAGTTGTGCTAATGCTAATTTGTAATCACTGTTTTGATCAAATACAAGCAAGACCCCTATTATGGGGAAGGTCAGCCACAGGTGACTAACACAGCTGCACCCAAGTAAGATTCAAGGCCCACTGGTCACCAAATTTTGGGCAGAATTTTCAATTAGCAATCCTCTCCTTAAGGAATCAATGATGACAGCAGGCTTCGAGCCAATGGACCCAAGCAGCAAGCCGGCACAGCTGCAGGCAGGCGGCGAGTGCGGCTCACGTGCCACGCTGCTGGGCAGCGCCCACACAGGCAACAGCCCACCGGCTTCAAACACAGCAGAGCTCGCTGCCAAGAGGAACAGAATGACCCGCACCGCGTCCACCGGAGAGAGGACAAGTAGTCACGGACTTAAATTGCAGCAAGGGAGATTTAGGTTGGGCGTTAGACAAAGCCTTCTAACAGGAAGGATAATTAAGCATAGGAATAGATTGCCTGGGGAGGGACAGGAACTGCCATTCCTGAAGGTTTTACAAGTGGTGGGAAACATCTGTCACGCTGACCCCACTTTGGGTAGGGGGTGGATTAGGCGGCCATTCAAAGACCCAGCTCTGTTTTCTAACAACTCCCCAAACCCCCCACTGACCTCCTACTTTATACTGTTCCGATCCAGGAGCTGACAATAGCACGGAAATAAATTTTGTTTAGAATACGGTACTCAGGGAAGGCTGAGATTTAGAGCAACCGAAGGGCAGCGGATTGCAGGCAGGGCCTGGGCAAGCCTCCTCACACCGCTCTGCCAGAGTGCTGGCACCCATTTCCACCCCAAACAGCGTCTGCCCTTTGGGTGGCGGGTTCCACGTGCGAGCATGCAGCTAGCCAAAAGGCAGACTGATGCCCACCAAGCTTGCTCACAAGCCCATGCCTTCGGGCCCCGGATTTAGTCCGGCGCAAGGCAGCCCTCCTCCTTCTCCTGCCCCACAGGACTTCGCCGAGACAGACAAACATGTTACCTTTTTAACATTTTCCTCCTCCTCTTGGCGTTTCTCATAGTGTGAGAAGTCATCAAAGATGGAGGTGGTGTGCTTGTAGGTGGCAATGATTTTCAACACCTGCTTAGCCTTTTCCAGAGGCACCTCCTGAGTGTCCCTGGAGTTGGTCACTGGTTTATTCTCGTTGTTCTCTAGGCGGATGTGCCGCAGCTGGCTGTTGGGAACGTCCTTCACAAAAATCCACCTGACATCAAAACGTCCCTTCCACTTGTCCTGGGACCACACACCCGCACACGTGTTATAGTCCACAGCAGATTTCATTTCTGCTACTCCGCAGAAGTGACCGCTACCGTTGACACTGAACAGTAAGTAAACGGGGCCCTTCCCGTTCATGGAGCGATAGGCAGCATCCAGTCTCTTGTTGCCGTGCTCTGTACTGCACCAGATGTTATATTTAATGGAACGGTGGATATCGTCCTCAGAGTAACTCTTAATGATGAAAACCCGGCCGTGTTTTGGGTTCCAGTCAAAATCCTTGGGGTTGTAGTTGTTGACGGATCTCAACTTCTCCAAGACCGGGTGCGGCTCCGAAGGAGCAGAACCAGAACTGGCCTGAGACTGTCCCACTCCGTTACCGTCCACTCCGTTTTGACCGAACCCGCTGCCGCGATTACGAGGGGCAACCCAGCGGGTGGGCTGAGCCGCCTGCTGCGGCACAGGCAGCTGGGCCGGCTGCGGCGGCGGTGGTGGGGGCAGCGGCTGGGGCTGCTGCCCGCTTGAAGCCTGTGCCACCGGTGGGCTGTTATTGATCTGCTGACCCACGGGCTGGGGGGACACCTGGGCTGGCTGCTGACCAATATTCTGAACTAAAGCCTGCGAGGGGGCTTTTGCCACTGGCCCTTTGTTATCCCAAGTTCCAATATCCATGTTATGTTTTATCGGAGGCGGTGGAAGACTTGACCCTGCAATGCCATTCTTGGTCTTCAGCTTGGGCTGCTGCTTAGCCGGTTTGCTAGCGATGTCAGCCCAGGAGGTCGGCTTTGGAGGAGCGATAGTAGCTGGAGGCAAACTGTTAGATGCCACGATATTACTGGTAATGGATCCGCTACCGACAGCTGAACCAACGACTTTCGGGACGCTGCTTGCAACATCTGTGCTGCCCAGCTTCAGAGCTGCCATCCCTTGGTCGATGGTGTTCATGCCAGGAGCCTTGTTCAGAGTCTCGTTAGCAAAGGCAGATTGCCCGTCAATCATCGCTCCACCCAGCGAGCTAGGGGCATAGGCGTAATTGCTACTATAGCCAGAGCTTTGAGTGGATTGTCCCTGAGAACTGTTATTCCCCCAAGCCGAAAAGTCAATCCCACTTGGAAAGAAGTTAAAGCCGTGCTGCCCAAGAAATGGAGTGCTGCCAAGGGCCCCTGGCTGCCCGAACATCGCGTCTGGGAGAAAGTGAGGCTCCCCGTTGCTCAGCTGTCCGTAAGAGGTTAGGTAGGGCATGGGTGGGTCACCCCCCGTAGACCAGGCAGCTTCGCCTAAGGAGTAGGAGAATCCAATGGAGGGACTGTAGTAGTTTGGTAAGTAGGAATCGGACATTGCAGTGTATGCATTATTCTGAAAAAAACAAAAAATAAGCACTGAATAGTTAGAATGAGTTGAGCAAATTTCAAGGGACCAGGAATAAAAGCCATCTTAGACTTCCTATGCCCCACCTCTCCCTACCTTAGGGCTGGGCAGATAAACAGGCCCGGCCTTGAAACACCTCCTTTGTTAGAAGTGCTCTGAAAACGGTTTCATTGCCAGAAAGATTAAACACAAAGGCTTAGCAAGCTTCCCATGCTTAGACGGGAGCGCATTGCGTTCCTGATGCATGATGTGGGACTGGACACCAGACTGCCCCAGAGCTCCTGCTCAGGCTATAAAACCAGTATCTTACCTAGCATCCAAATATTATCTTCTACTTTTTGTAGCTACTACCAAAGAGGGCTTTTCTTGCCTGGGTAACGTACGTATCCACCTTAATTTTGCTGGTGGGGGTGGGAAGGACTCAGAGAGAAGTGGACTATGGAGGAAAAAGGTCCAGTGGAAGCACACTGCCAAAATCATGAATGTCCCTAATTGCCTTCCTTGGTCCCTCCCTTAAACTTATTACCCATGAAAACAGCTTTATCCCTACAATTTAAAGTTTCAGAGCTTAAAATATCCCAAGAACTTGCAAACAAACATGGATTTAAAGCCTCATCCTCAAAACACAAACTGCTCCAGTGCTGCGGGCATACACTAAAAAAACACCTGAAAATGGGGAGTAATCAATAGGGTTTCAACAGGAGCCTCTTATAGCACGGTGACAGCAGCAGCACAAGAAAACAGGCTTCAAATTCAGAGAGGAAAAAAAGCTGCCCCATGCCTTGGTCTCCCTTTTAACATCCAAGTAGCCTTTAGGTTACAAAAACAAATGCCTAATTTTACAATTAAGGAAAACTCTCAGACATCACCAAGATTTGCTTACATGAAAAACATCTGTCATTTTGCATTCAAACCAATGCCCCCTCCGGGGAGCGGTTAACGCCACGCTAATGGACATTATCATCCTGTAATTTGAACCTGTGTGCAGACAGCCTTGTGCTGTACAGCCGCTTACATGCCAACCCAATGCAGATGAGATGAAAGTCAGGTTCAGTTCCCATTTAAAAGCTTGGCTTGCAGCAGGCTCTACTCCATTTTTTCGTTGAATCACGTTTCCATGTGCCAAGTGCAGCTCCCAAGGGACTTCATGCCATACTGAAATCTATGGAGGCTCTCAAGATGGCTCTGGCACCCTTCAGAAACAGCTGGTTTGCCTCTCCACCTTCCACTGAGTTAAAGGAAAGCAACAGGTTTGGGGCTCACCCAGCCCCAACTTCATAAAAATGAACAGGAATTATTTAACATAATGCGTTCAGAGACAAGGTTTGCTTTGTTGTATAAAACACTAAAAAGCTTTCTGTGGTATTTCATGGTGTGAATGCATGAAAACTCAGAGACACTCTCTCCAGCCTTTCCGTTTTCCCAAGAAGGGGTCCCAAAAGCACATTAATAACAAAACCAACTCTTACCCAGGGTACAGTTTTACTAATTGAGGAACTTGGTCCTGCTAAACCCAAGCGAATGAACGATCTTTAGGGCTCAACCTGTCCAAACGCACGAATACTGACGCTGACTAATTTGTAAGGCAAATGAAGGAACTTAAAAAAATTATTATTTTGAACCAGCAAAGTCTCTTCAAAAGACAATCCCCTCAATTATAAGAGTAACAATATACTCTCCTGGAAATTAGCTTTAACGGAACATAAACATGCTGGCCCATACCTAAAACCTGAGCCCAGCAGGCGGAGCAGCACTTTCCTCTCCACAGGCTTCTCCCTCAAAGCACACGAAGCACATCGCTGTCAGATGAAAACCTGTCCCCTTGTCACTTCAAAATATTTTCTTACATGCCGTTACCTGTTTAACTTCATGAGATATTTTCACATAGCCCGTATTAAGCTACTACCTGTAGAGTATTCACCAGCTATACTGACGGAGTAAGGAGGGAGCGCAGGAGTTAAACAGCTGAGCACTGCCAGCTCAAAGCAGATTTAAGGCAGGCCTGCCGCTGTTCACTACCTGAATGTCTAGAACTACGCTTCGCTATCAAACACGCCACCTCGCTCTGCTACCCTGCACTCGCACAACTGACACAGTTACTGATTAGTATGCAAATAAAACTTCAACGGCTTTTAATTCTCTCCAATGACTAAGGCATTTTGTACAGTTATTTCCTCAAATTCACAATTCCTCTTCACCTCAAGACTAGAACCAGGGTTTAAGCTTACTTATTGTTGTTGTTGAGCTTTTATTTTGTTTTTTTAAACTGTTGAAGAATCACTTACTGTGTATCTGAGCTTTAAAATACACAGTAACCTAATGTACTAGGCTGACAAGCTAGTAACAGTCGCACCTGAACGGCAGCTCCTGAGTGAAGCGCCATGAAACTTTAGGACTTGTTAGGCAGCGCTTGCGTGGAGAACTCGGAAAGCAATTTCAGAAAGCACTCGCGTTACCCTGCAGCAGTGGGCTCCATTTAATTCATTTTCCAGAGCCTTATCCGTAACTCCCTTTCCCACCTTTAGAAAAGAGGTGCGCACTTTGATACCTTTCTATTTTTGAACCTGGCTGGTCGGCTCAGCAGAACCATGGTCCCTTCCAGACTGAACCCAAGGGTTTTGTTTTCTACTATATCGAGTGTCAAAACACGGACAAGAGCTGACGAGCAACACAGCATGGAGAGAAACTGAAATAAACTCCCCTAAAGTTTCCTTCAAAGTTAACACGGCACAGTTTACCTCACTCCTGCAGAATTTCTAGAGCAACCGCTCTGCTCCACCTCCTGCGGCACACTCCAATCACTGCCTTGATTTTAAAAAGTATTTTTACCAGTGTGACACATGCAAGAGGAAACTAAATATTCAGAAGTTGTTCTTCTTTGCAAAATAGGGTAAGATACCATGTTGCTTCTAGCATTTTATAGTAACCTCTAGTCTCTTCAGGAGATTTAAATAAAACTACACTTTGCAGGAAATACTCCCACATTCAAAAGGAAGCTGGAAATTGGTGATGTTAATTTCTGGGATAGAAAAAACACACCATTAAATGAGAGCTCCTAGGAAAGTAGCTAGTTTTATTCAAGACTTAAGTAATCACACTCTCTCGCCCTATGGAGGTCGAATTTATGCTTGTAACTTTTCAGGGAGCTGAATGCAGTAAGTTATCTTAATGGACAGGCTGAATTCTGAAGATTATGAACAGCTGACAGGACCTTAAAGACTATTTAGCCTCATGTCTTTAGCACAAACTAGGAAAATACTTGTTGAAAATTTAACTGAGACAGAAACCTGTTCTTGTGTTCCAAGAAAACACACATCACTTATCTGAAAAAAATACACTGACTAGTAGAAATGATCGAAAAAATACAGAAAGGGAAAACCAGTACAGCTTATTTTTACTAATCACAAGTGGAGAGGAAAGAGAAGCCAAGAGAATGACCTAACTACTCCAGTGCTACTACAGATGTTTATCTATAACACTAACTTGTACCATCTAATCAGCTGAACTCCGTCTGTTATATGTCACTCTCCTACCACTCATTAAGAAAAACAAACAAAACCCAGTTAACAGCAGAGCTAATCCTAAATAGAAAGTTAAGAGGAAAAGTATCTGGAAGTCTGACTTTCAGGAGCTGATCACAAGCTCTCCAGCTTGACTTCTACCTAAAAGTTCTCACAAAGTCTTAACAGCCTTTATCACGTGTGGTCTGTGTGGCTTTTTGGTGAAAAATAGAGAAAACCCCATGACACGCATTTTCAGCTTCCTTGGCAGAGAGATAAGAACGTTGATAGTATCCTCCAGAAGCCCTCAGAGCGTAACTGCATCGCGTGAAGCAATTTCACAACGCAACACAGCGCACCTCCTCGTACGGTGTCAAGAACCAGAAACCAGCAAGGAAACAAGGTCATAACAGTAAAACTGGAAGAGCAGCAACAGTAACTTCAAGGCAGCTGTGTTGAAAAAAAATGAGCTGAGGACCAACTGTAGGAAGTCCTTACACCCCCAAAAAGTTGCTAAAACCTTTATACCTCTCCCACCACAACCTAATGGATTTTAGTATTTTCTGCCTGGAGAAAGGCATGTATAAAAAAAGCATATTATGATAAGAAAGTGAGCAAACATTAAAATGCAATCAGCGGGGACAGGGAACAAGTGGAGAATTTTCAAAGATGCCAAATTCGCCTTCGCTAGAGAGGAGGAGGAAGCCCCCGGGCTCTGGGCGCTTCCTGCCCGTTAGCAGGTACTCTTACTCACCGGCCGGGCCTGGGGACTCAGGTAGGGTTCAAAGTCATCATCATTTAACCCATCCTTCTGATGCACAGATCCGTTTTGCACTGAGGAAAAGATTTAGAGCGTTAGAAAGAACTCTGCCGATAAACTCCACCATTTACCAGCTTGAAGTGTTTAAAGACAGACCTTATAACTACCGCTCACCAGTTTAGAATATACCGCGCGTAGCCCAGGCCAGAGCAGAAAGACACTCCGCCACCGCACAAGCCCCCTTTAACTGCAAACTTTCCCCAGGAGCGACGATGGGCTTCACAGCTCGCCGTTTGTTTTCCTCCCAGCCGCTCCGCCGGGCGCAGGCACACGCACCCGAGGATGCGCCCAGCAAATCTCGCAGGGGATCCTCCCCGTCCCTCCCCCGCGGCCACGCTCCCCAAAGGCGCAACTTTCCGGCGGGATCCCCCGCTCCCCGGCCCTCCCCGGGCTCTCTCACCTTTGTTGCCTTGGCCCTTGGGTCTCTGGCGCGGCGGCGCGGCATGGAAAGAGAGAGGGAGAGAGCGGTGAGTCAGGGGGGCGAAGCGGCCCCGGCGCGGGCGGGGAGCCCGGCGAGGCGAGGCCCGGCCCGGCCGCGCCGCAGCACAATGGAGGCGCGGCCCTGAGGTGGCGG